GCTCCCCCCCCCCCCGCCCCGCCGCCGCCGCCGTCGCCTCGCGCCTCTTTCTGCAACTTTGGGTGTTCTGTCTGATGATGTGCAGCGGAGGACCATAGTGTGGGTTTACACTAGAGGCCTCCTCCAAGCTCCAAAGAGCTGCCTAAGTCTGATCCGAAGCCATCCAGGAGAAGCAAGGAAGTCCAAAACATTGAGCAATTCCGCCACGAAGCCAAAAAAACCGTTTCCCACACCGCCCGGCCTGGGGTTTTTCTGGGTAGCTCCGTCCGACGCTGGGCAGCCCAGACATAAGGGCAACCCACACCCTCTCCCCAGCTTAGGTTCCCCACACACAACCTTGGAGAACGGAGTGACAATCTTCTTCCGGGCACTTTCCTTACATCCTGGGGTCCTAGCAGGGAGCGCTTAGTGCGTTTGGGTCCTGCACATTGAGGCAAGACCGACCCATAGTAGACCAACAGGCCAGCACTTCCTTTCTGGCCAAGACCGGTCGCCAAGTCACTAGCAACTCCTGCACACCTGGCCGCGAAGCTCTGGCTTGGCCCTGTGCTGACTGGGGCCGAGCCATAATGCCTTGCTCTGTAGACTGGCCCACACCCTTTCCAAACAGAAAGAATCGCCGACCCCACCGACGAGGTTTCAAAGCCAAGTGGATGTCGCCCGCTTCCCCGGCACTGCCAGAGTTTGGGGGGAAATTAATCTCACGTGTGCGAAATGATTTCCACCGCGATGAACGGTGAAGGAGGGAGGGCTGCTCGGAGACCGCTCCTAAACTTTGCAGGGTAGTGAGTGTTGGAAGCAAAGAAAGGGGACAGGAGACACCAGAGAGGTTGTGCTCAGGCTGCCAGTGCCTAGCAAGCATCATCCCAGGGCAGAGAGGCACCCAGGCTACGGTACCCGGTACCCGTAGGCAGGAGGCAAGGGTGGTTGGCCTCTCGCCTTGCTGCTTACCTGCACCCACGGCTGTCCTTTCAGAGTTGTCCCTAACTTCTTCACAAGAAGATCAGCTGCTAGCCGGAGATCTCCCCTCTAGGCTGCCTGCGGCCAGGACTAAGCAATGGCCAGGACTAAGCAACAGCCAGGCCCCCCGGCCCTGCAGAGAAGACTCCACCGAAGACGCCAGCGAGCAGAGTGGGGGTGGGGACTACAGAGCACAATGAGGGCCCCTCGGAGTGCAGTTCGAAATTCCTCAAATCCCAGTTGCTGGAATGCGAGGCCAGGACGACTTCTTCACTCGGGGCCAAATGTGTTTGTCATTATTCCAGATCGTTCGTCCGCGCCGCCGCCAGCGTCGCCGGGGTGAGAGGCGCTCGATCCCAGCGCACTGCAGATCCCGCCCGCGGCTGCCCCCCCCCCGGGGCCCGGGGGACCCTCCCCCCTCCCCCCGCGAGCCCCTCTGCTGGTCCCGCTGCCGCCACCGCCGCGCACAAGTCTGGCCGCAGCTCTCTCCAGCAGCACCGCCGTCCAGTAATTACGAGGGATATGCTGGCGCCGTGTGTACCCGGCCGGCATCCGAGGTCCGTCCTCCTCCAGCCGAGCCCTTCACACCTCCCTTTCTCCTAGTCCTTTCCCGCGCCCCACTCGGCGCCCCTCTCTCCCACACCTCTCCTAGCGCCCCCCACCCCCGCAGCTCCGCTCCACACCACCCGCCACACCCCAGGCCCGCCAAACCACGGGCGACAAATGAAAATAGTCATTAAAAACCTGTCCTCTTCCAGGACCCACTGCCAAGAGGCCAAACACCGCTGCTTCCACCCCCAATGTTACTTGGTGTTCGTCCCAGTATGCATGAATGCCACCCCCACCCTGGAGAAAAACCTCAAAAATGCAAGCCTAACAATTTCTTTGGGAAGCTATAGGATTGTTAGAAAACATTGCTTTTAAAAATAGGTCTGGATTTTTTTTTTTTTTTTTTTCCTTGAACTAACACTATGGGTATCCCAATCCCAGAGAAGTTTATTCAAAAAAAAAAAAAAACTTTCTGAACACACAACTTTGTTTTTGTTTTTTCTTTTTCCCTCACTGCCCAAAATTTGAAGTTACTTCGCTTCTTTCAGCCCCAAGATATGATCAGGGGCTTCCTTTAGAAACAAAAGTCACTTTTTCCTCTCCCTTACCTTCTCCTTCTATGTCAATTCGCAAGGTAAATCCTATTCACGGAGTAAAAAGTAAGACCCAATCCTCCAATTCTCTCTTGCAGCTCGTCTGTTTGTTTCTCTCCCTCAAGCTCCAACAGTAATAGGCTCAAAACCCGCATTTTGTAATTGATTCAATGTTATAGTCCATCCTCCTAAAACTAATCATTTGCTCAAAGTAAATAGCTGTCAGGAAATGAAGTCCCCCCCCCTTGGCCTCTTCAAAATAAAAGTTTCCCTTCAACTCCTTGCTCGAGCAATCTCTCCCGCTCCAGACCTCTCCTGAGCTTCTTGCTCTTATGCAATCAGGGGGTCCAGTCCCAACCCCCAGACTTCAACAACAACTGGGGGGCGGGGAGAAGCAAACCAGATGGGGTGGGGGTGGCTGAAGAGGGAGGTGTTGACTTTCTGCCGGGAAAGAAGTTTCATGAAAATCCAAACAGCCCTCATTTCCAAAATGAGTTGGCTTCCCCAATTGGGGGGATATTTTCCTATGCTGCTATTGTTTTGTATTCTCCTCGAACAGAAAATGCACGTAAAATTCTTGCTAGTTTCCGAAACGAATATAAATCTAGAATGTAAACATTTCCCTTCTGTAGATACTCCGGGCCCAGCTAGAAATATGGCCCTGGGGAGAAGTGCTAACGCGGCTGCGTGGTTTTGAACTGGGGGTCTTAAGGGAAAGTGCTGTGTAGCTGCTAATCCTTTAATGGGATTAGGAAACGGTGGCGTCTAATACGAAGATGATGGGTTTTTGAAAGAGTGGAGTGTGAGATGGTGTGCAAATAACGGTTGCTCAGCGTACCTTCGGACTGTTCTCCGTAAGAACGACCTTTGTCCCCTTGGAGCCACTTATCTGGCCCTGCCTTTGTCTTCGTGGTTATCTGGTCCTCACTTCTATCTTCATAGGAGAAAGCTCAGGTTAGGCGTGACTGCCCGCTGCATCTTGAGGGCAGAAGTATTTTGACCCTCCTAAACTCCATCCTATCCCAGTGAGTAGCATCCAACATACCTTACGAAAGCTTTCTCGGGAGGTTGAGCCACAAACCCGAGAACTCCAGTTACCCAGACAGCTGGACACAGCGATACTGCTGGTGAGGGAAAGGGGGCGCTGACACTCCAGAAACCAGACCTGGGTGAAGCGGGACTTCCCAGAGAGGGTGGGGGAAGGGAAGACCTTCGAATTGCGCTCTATTTTTTAATTCTCTTGGTGGGGGAGATGAGAGCAGTCCTTTAGTTCCCCCAATCCCCCTGCCCCATCTCACACATCAACATAAAAATGGACAGGGCGGCCAGGGGAACAACAAAACGTCTAGTAACCTCCTCCTTCACCAGGAGAGTGGACGACACCGGGCTGCAGTGATTCATTAAGAAGGTCTCCCCGAAATGCTGAGTGTTGTGCCTAAATGGGACAGGATTGTGGGGGTGTCGCGATCAGGAAGAGGATGCCTGGGGCTGGGCTGGGAGCCCCAATTCTCCTCCGCCCTTCTGCAGGCCTGCCTCTGGTGTGTCTTCAGCTCGGGTGACTGCCCCGCTCGCTATTACTTCCACATGTTCCTTCAGGAAATCATTGAAGGCGAAATGTATGAACAGCCCCTTGTTCGGAATGCTAGCAGGATACCGTAATGTTTGTAGATAATGAACGGGATGCTAAGGACGAGAGAGAGAGAGAGAGAGAGAGAGAGAGAGAGAGAGAGAGAGGAGACCCGGGGCTTTCAGCTATTGTTAAAGTCAAGTCGAGGTCTAGGTTTTTTAGCAGGTACCCAAGGAAAGCAGAAACTGAGGCTAGGATTCTGCAGAGGCGGGCCTCCTTTGCACTAGGGTCTCTCTCAAGCCGGGCCCCTGCGTTCTCCGCCCACAAATGGTAACTTCACAGTTCATTTCAGAACAGTTTTAAAGGAGTCCGAAAAGCGGGCCGGCTTGGGTATCCTGGGGCAGTAACTCCTCAGGCGTTTGAAGCAGAGAAACGGATGAGTATCGAGCACCCAGTTGCTCTTCTGGTAGTAATTACCTGCCTAATTTAAATGATGCCTTTGTTATGATCATTAACAAACATTTGCTAAAGGTTTCCATGTGTGACATTCCCTAAGGTTTAAAGGCCTGGAGAGCCAACTCAGGGGATAGCGCCCCAGTAGGGGGTGGCGCAGGCAAGCAAATGGTTGGGCGAAGATCTCTCTGAGTCGGGGACCTGAGAAGCATCTGCCTTCCCTGCGAAAGGAAAATAAACGCAGTGGTCTGAAGAAACCTCGGGGCAGGAGGCCTGCGAGCTCCAGCGGTTGATTTCTTAAACCAGGTCCTGCCCCCGCCCTCCCACTGCTCATAGGC